GTAATTACTGCCAAGTAAATATTGCATTCCTTGGAGGAAGAGGGAGAGAATTAAGGAAAGCTAGTAAAGTGGAAATAGCCCTTTCCCCTCTCCTGAGAAGCGCCAAGGGAAGCAGAGTAACGCGGGAAGGAGCCTGGTTCTGGTGGAGACTCGGGAATGATTCGGTGTTGGCTGGGATAGACCAGAGCCCCAGTTGATTCGAGACAGCTGGCGCTCTCCCCAGCTCCAGCCCATGTGGGGGGCCCTTGGGAACCAGCTTGGGGGGCAGAGGAGAGAAGCAGTCGAAAGCATGACTGGGTATGATCAGCTTTTCCATCCACATGACATCATTCGACATGGCAGAGACACAAACTGCCAGAAGGAGGAACCTGGTGTGTCGTGCTGTGGGAACCCTCTCTAATCTGAACCAGCATCGTGCTCTCCTGGGCCGGGCTTGGAGAGCTGGCTTGCATTAAGGGGTTGCTGCTGAGGCCAAGCTGCAGGCCTGAGGCACCGCCCCCACCCCAAGCAAGCTGATTGGCTGCATCCCAACATGCTTGGGGCACTTGAGCAGGGGAACTATTTAAAGCTGCCAGTGGCGCATGGGGCTTCAGAGTGGATTCTTTCTCCTTCCCTCTGGCAGCTCCCAGACTCTGTTCTCAGGTGGGGTTTCTCCATGGTGAGTCTTGTTGCCTCCACAAGTGAGAGTCTGATACAGAATGCACTTCTATATATTTGTAATGTCAAAATACATTTCACATCAAGCACGGAAGAGGCAGTCCTAGAGAGGAAATGTTTGCAGAGCGATTACTCTCGGTGACTGGGTAACAGGAGCCTGTCTGGGATCAGGCACCTGAACGTTTGGGAGAAATCTGCTCGGTTAACGGGTTGGCACCCACCCACCCCACCTGGAGTAGAGCAGCAGCCTCATCCTCAGCTCTGTTCTTTGACCTGCGGCTTCCTCCCCTCCCGTAAGTCTGGAGGAGCCTCCCTTGCTGCTGACCACTGTGTGCTTTGAGCAGAAGGTGGGCGCTTTGCCTACAAAGACTCAACACAGCTCTGGGCATGCAGAGAAGGCTGAAATCACCCCTTTCTCAGCTTACTGTGTTAATCTCCCCAACCCAAATATATTCCCAAGTCAAGGGTCTCAGGGCACACCTTAGCATAGGTACCAGCCTGTAAGTGGGGCAGAATACTGGCGTAGGCAGGATTCTCTGGAGGAACGGAACCGGAAAGTTGAAAATGGAGAGATAGGAGTTGGGGGAGGGGAGATGTGGGTTAGTGGATGGATTTTAAGGGATTGGCTCGTGAGGCTGTGGAGATGCAGAGCTGACCTGAAGCTGCAGTTTAGGTCTGTGGGTAGGCTAGACACACACACACACACACACACACACACACACACACACATTTTACACACATATATATGTATATATGTAATATATATGTTATTTTCTCAAAACCTTCAACTAATGCTGTCCACCCACATTATAGAGTTTGATTTCCTTCATCCAAAGTCTAATGATTTAATTATGAATCTCATTTTTAGAAGACCTTCACAGCAGTGTGTAGTTTAGAGCTTGACTAAATATCCGGGTACCGTGGCCCCACCAAGTTAGCACATAAATTAGCCATTCTAGCAAACCACACAGAGGGTATATGACTAAGCGTGTTCTGGGGGTCCATCAGACTCAGTGCTGCTGGGGAATCTGGGGAGTCAGTGTGGGACCTGCCTCAGCATGAGGTGACCTAAGTGCAAGGGGACTGGTGTCCTGTCTGCTGTGTGCCGCTCAGAGACCTGACTCCTGCCATGAATGGAGGGGGGGGGGCTTAGTGGAGGCAGAGAGACTTGGAAAAGGCCAAGAAGCTGTGAGTTGGAGTCTGTACCATCCACTCTGTCTTCCTGTGTTCATGCCCATTCTCACTGAGCTCATCCGGCTACGTTGCTGGGGTCTGTGGTCCCTTCCATTTCCCCTTCCCGGAGGGGACAAAGACAGCCCTCATTTGTCACCTGGGAGGATGGCTGGACAGGGCTGTTGAGATTGAAGCTGCCATCCCCTCCTTGGTTTATCCAGCCATGACCTCTGACTTGTCCTTCAGCACTGGGCATCTCCAGACGTAGTCTTGCTAAGTAGCATTTTGAAGCTTGCTTCATTTAAACATAACCACTTGTACTGTTGGGTTGTTGCTGCCTGGAGTAAAAAGATTGACTTAGGCTTCAGCTCTGGACCTTTGTCTGTGCTTGGTTCTGCCATTTCTGCATTCCAAGAGTAACAGGTTTCAGGACAGGTATGGTAGTTTGAATGTAATTGGACCCCATAAGCTCATAGGGAGTGTGTGGCTTTGTTGGAGTAGGTGTGGTCTTTTTGGAGGAAGTATGTCACTATGGGAGAGGGCTTTGAGGTTTCCTATGCTCAGGATACCACCCAGTGTCTCAGTCAACTTCCAGTTGCCTACTACAAGATGTAGGACTCTCAGCTCCAGCACCATGTCTGCCTGCGTGCCTCCATGCTCCCTGCCATGATGGTAGTGGACTGAACCTCTGAAACTGTAAGCCACCACCCCAGTTAGATGTTTTCCTTTATAAGAGATTCTGTGGTCATGGCGTCTCTTCACAGCAATAAAAACCCTAAGTCAGAAGTTGATACCAGGAGTGGGGTATTGCTGGGATAGGCCTGACCATGTTTGTTTGAAGGAATATGGACTTCAGGACTTTGGATTAGAAAAGCAGGTGAATTCTTTAAGTGCTGCTTAATGGGCCATCCTAGTAGGAGCATGAAAGACAGTGGTGGTGATTGGATCTGGAGAGCTCTGGATTCTGCTGTATGGAAGATGGTTCTTGGACTGGAGCGAGTATTTTCCCTTTTGGAGCCTCAGGTCCTTTGTCCTAAAGGATTAGGACATGAGCTGACCTATGGGATGTCTTCAAGGCCTTGGCAGTCTAGCCACACACTCCACTTGTAACGTTTGCTTGTGCCCCGTGTTTTCTCTACTGAAGCATTTCCCCTAGCTGTTCTTTTCTTAATAGTAGAACTATCTCCTCTGATCATCTGTGGGGCGTTTACCCACCAACCCCACAGCTCCCCAGAGTTTTCTTGAGTGCGAGCAGCAGGAAATATTAGGTAGAAAGATTTATTGCAGAGAATATTGCAGAGATAAACAGACAGAAAATAAAGGATAGCCTCGGGAGGGCCTGGGACCTTTTCCAGTGGGCCCTGACTGTCTCTGCCCCAGGGTATTTATAGAGATGCCAAGGGGTGGAGCAAAAGACCTCCTCCCCCAGCACAGCCAAGTGCAGACCATCTCAGACACCTGCACTCAGGCCCATGGTCCTAATCATCCTCTATGAGGACATGCTGGGTAAAGCCATGAGGAACCTGAAAATGGGCTCCCACAATGATCCATGTCCCTGGTCCCTCCTGGTAACCCAGCTTTGCCTCAGAAATTAGCTGCTTGTTAGAATAAGCAAGGTAGGGTATCACAGCCTTCAATGGTCAGGAATCTGCCATCTGGGCATAATGGGAGCCATGATATGGCAGGGACCTAGGAGAGCCATTAGATACAGCAAAAATATGCTGTGTGCAGCCACAGATGGCCTGTCAAGTCACCTTCCTTCTTCCCTGTTCCAACTTCCCTTGGTGGCGGGTCCTTTGATGTTATTTAAGGATATGGCTATTCCTGTGAGCTGGCTTCACCATACTTAAACATTGGCAAGGCACTGGCTTCAATGAATGGCCCAAGCTTCTGACAGACAGTTGTATGGCCTGGGATGGCTCATCTGCCTTCCCAATGGTCAGTTATTTCTTCTGGTCATTTTAGGGGCAGAGATTATTGTTTCTCCACCATAAAAACTATACTTCCTGGAGCTAGATAAATGGCTTAGTAGTTGAGCTCTCTAAAGGACCCAAGTTCGATTCCCAGCAGTCAAGTTGCCTGTACCTCCAGTCCCAGGGGATCCAACACTTCCTTCTAGCCTCTTTGGTCACCTGCTCTCATGTAACATGCAATTATATACACACATACACATAATAAGAAAAATAAAATCTTTAAAAACCACAATAACCTCAGAACCCACAGAAGAGTAATGGAATAAAATGGCTCACGGAGAGACTGACCTCTGGCACAGAGAACAGTGCTGTAGGTCTGCTGAAGTTCCCCTTACCGGATAAAATGCATGGCTGGCTGCTTACTTACAGGCTCCAGAGTGACGGAGGCAAGGTCTCTTGGGTTTACCCAGCATGCATTTGTCATCATAGCATCCTTCTCTCCTTTTTCTGTTCTATACTGTCTGGCACTGCCCTCTCAGGTATAGGGCTGAGTTTTTAGGAAGAAAGCTCTACATAGGAGCCACCATAGCCAAATCCTTGACAGAAGGACAGGCATTGTCGGAGTAGAGCCAACCACAGCCTGTGCCTCAGTTCCCAAGTGTGGAGCTCCATGAAAGTGGACTCTTTTTTTTTTTTTTTTTTTTTTGCCTGTGGTGACTGACACCTCACGGTGACAGTCCTGGTGTGTAGCCTTGTCATTCCACCATGGGTGACACACAGCTGGAAAGATGTCGTGGCTGAGAGCAAGGTTTGGCATTTGTGAGAAATACTGAGTTAGTGCAGCACATCCTTGTCACGTCACGTGGTTCAATAGAAGTCGCTTTCATGAAGTCAGCCCCTTCTAGTTACAGTCGGCAGGTGAGGCTTCCCTATTGGACCTCCCTGTGTGTGGTAAAAGTAATCATTGCCGTGCATGTGTATCGGTGGTTCCGCTGTACCTCACAAAGGCATGAGGTCTAAACAAGGAAGAACCATAGGGCTGATGTGCACGGGATCCCTGGGAAGACAGGCCATCCTGGTTTTGCCATGGCCTGGTTACAGGCTTCTGAGATGGTCTTGATGTGGGCACAGGGCAGACCTCTATATAGTGTGAACTGTGCCCGCGTGCGTGGGGTCTCCACAGAACCGTGGGGCTGGGTGGTCCAAGCGCTGGGTGTCCGTCTTTGCTGATGTCTTTGACCCTTCATTTCCTGTCAGATCTGAGCTACAATCTGACGGCTGACGTGGCCCAGAAGGAGAAGGGCCAGCTGCCCCGAGTCTATTTTGTGTTGCTGGGAGAGACTGCCGGCCAGGTGTCAGAGAAGCTGCAGCTGACCCACATGGAGGAGACATGTCATCACTACATGGCCCACGTCAAGGTCAGTCCCCTCCTCTTTTAAATCCTTGAATCTGATCTCTACCGATCGATGGCCATTTGGACCTAGCATGAGCTGCTTCTGTTTCATCATGTAGCTCCGTCTTTCACAGTTCTAGTTCATAATATGCATTTCTTCTTTTAAAGTTAAGAGCTGAAGCCATCTTGTTTATCTTTAATTTTTTTTAAACACGGTTGTGTCGTGGAGGGTGCACGCCTGCCGTGGTGCGTGTGTGGTGGTCAAAGAACAACTCCGTGCAGTCCGTTCTATTCTCCGCCTTTAGGTGGTTCCGAGGATTGAACTCAGGTCGTCGGGTTTTCGGGGAAGTGCTTGACCCACTGAATTGTCTCGCCGGTCCTCTTTTCCTTATTGTGCTGTCCTCAACTTCTGAGAAGGGTGGAGGATGCCAGGAGACCAGTCTCTGAGCGTGCCTCGTTCTCTTGGGACATTTTCATCCTCTGCCCTCTGCAGCTTAGCAGTCATTGAGAGGAAAGCGTCAGTGGCCATGCTTGGAGTCTCAGATGGTGTCATTCCTGATGGCTTTCTTAGTGGTCCACTGTGTGACATAGTAACCCACAGTCAGGGTTAGTGCATTTTAAAACTGGTTGGACACAATTCTCTTGTTGATTACTTTCTATTTATTTTAGACGTGCATTTTAGGGGTCTCTTTCCTTCCTTCAAATAAACTTCCAAACATTTTTCTCCTCTTGAAATTATTTGCTAAATACATTTTGCTGTAATTCAGGAAGCCAGGCTTTGATTAATGATGGAGTGGCTGCTGTACAGGGTGGGAGTCCTGGCTGTGGTCACTGCTGTGGAGCCAGAGAGCAGAGGAGGTGGACAGACCCAAGATCTGGCTTGAGCAGTTGGTGTAATACCTGTGGGAGTGGGATTGAATCACCCAGACCTGGTGTGGATGTAACAGTGTGAGCACTATGTGTGAGTCTCTGCCTCTAAACTGCTCACCTTGAAAGTAGTCATGAGCGTGCAACATTACCTGGAGCAGCGTGGCACAATGCTGCAGTCTCAGTACTTGGGAGGGAGAGGCAGATTGGCTGGTTGGGCCATCCATACTTTCCAACATTCTAACGTTTTTGACTTTTGTACAGTTTCATCTAATGTTAGTAACTGTAGATTTTCTAGCAGATGGACTCTGTAAACTAAAGTGTCCCTCCAGTGTTGCCTTGTTGGGGTCATAGTCAGTTAGAACAGCTGCTTTAGGCCGTGTGTAGAGAATTACCTCCATGTCTGTGGCACGTGGTCTGGCCTGGAGCCTCTGAGTTCAGACCCTGAGATGCTTTGCAGTGGGGCTGGGCTCTGCCTTCTGCCAGACTCATGTCGGGGCCTGCCCAGGCCAGCTGCCCTTGACTCGGGCTGCTGGCCACTTAGCAGGCCACCCATGCTCTTGTTAAGCCCGCCCTGCCCTTCTTGATCTTGGATTCCTTTGGCTTCCAAGTGTCCTTGAGGGTGTGAGCTGCTCAGGAGAGGCTCATGTGCAAACCTTAAGATGTCTCAAATGGTTCTGTTTGACACTTGCTAGGGCGTGGGGCATCTGGCCTTCCTCGCGCTAAGTCTCCTCCACAAATCTTTCCTCTGAGGCTCTTTGCAACTGCTTGCTTTGGCTGAAAAAGTCATAGCAAATGGTTCATAACAACTAGAAGTCTTGAAAGACAGGGCCACAGAGAACCTGCTGCAGGCCCTGGTGAAGTGCATCACGGGAACAGCAATAGCAATGTGTGAGCTGGGGAGGAGCTGATCCTGTGGTGGCCTCTGGGGAAGGCCATGGCAGAGCTGTTCCTGTGGTGGCCTCTGGGGAAGGCCATGGCAGAGCTGCTCCTGTGGTGGCCTCTGGGGAAGGTTGCCTCTACTTAGCAGATATAGCATAGAAACATAAGGTTTCCTATCAAATTTGGAGCTTAGATAAACTGTTTTTTAGTATATATACAATCTCCCCCTTTCTTAGTGGCTTCTCTTTCTGGGGTATCAGTCACAATAGATCATTGAGGTCCAATAATGTTATGTGGAAAAAAATCTAAAAATAATAAATGTTAAATAAATTTTACCACAGGATATTGCAGTTCTGTTTTTTAATGCTTGTTTCTTTGCCTAATTTATGAACTTGATCATAGCTATGTATTTATAGGGGAAATATATGTTGGATGTGATTTGCAGTTTCATATAGCCGCAGAATGTCTTGGAACATGTCCCTGTGGATAAGGGCAGACTTGGCATCACCCAGTACTGCACGGGATGCTGTGGTTGTTGCTATACTACTGATGACAGACTCAACAGGCTCCAGCATCACCTGGGTGGCAGATCCCCAGGCAGGCCTGTGAGGGGTAACCTAGAGTAGGTAAATTAAAATGGGAAGACCCACCCTAAAATTGGACAACATCATTCTCTAGGCAGGGGCCCTGTACTCCATATAAAGGTGGAACACTAGCATTCATCACTTCCTAACTGGATGCAGCGTGACCCCTGCCTCAAGCCCCTGCTGCCAGAACTCCCCAGCATGGTGGACTGTCCCCTTAAACTGTGACCCACAATAAGCGCTTCTTTCTTTAGGACTGCTTGCCAGGTGTTCAGTCACGGTGAGACGTTGAGTAGTTGATACAGACACACACACAAATATTAGTTTGCTTTTGAGATAGTCTTGCGCTGTCGCCCATGCTGGGTTGAAACTCATCACATATCTCCCAGGCTTGCCTCAGACTCAGTCCTCCCAGCTCAGCCTCCCCAGGGCCGGGATCACTGGCTTGAACCACATGCTGCTTACCTGAAATTCACTTTTAGCTTGGCATCCCCTTGGCGTGTCTAGCTCTACTGGGACTTCTAGGGCTTCTCAATCAAAACCTAGCTGAGCAGAGCAGAAACTGAGATTGTAGGTGGAGGTGGCGGAGCTCTAGAATGTGGTTGTTCGGCCGGTTCAGGAAGGGAAAACAGACAGGCTTTAATGGATTTTATATTATAGGTACTGCTTGGCTGTTCTTGTGCAGCCAGATGAGGTGGTGGTATATACCAGAGGAGAGACAAAATTCCAGGGTCTTTATGGCCCAAGAGCTAACTCAGTTGTTAAGAGATGCTCAAAGTCGTGAATACTCACTAGCCACGAGGGAAGCTTTACCCTACAGTTACCATCTGGGCCCTAACAGCGGACCTGGGTGGAAGGTGGAGTGCATGAGCGTGAGGGGAAATGGTGGTATGCTAGGTAGTCGTCCTCAGCGTGCTGCAGCCGGCCGAGGAGCTCACAGACATAGCCTGTGGTTTACAGGGTTTGGGAAACAGCTGTGGAGGCTGTGCCTTGTGTGGGGCCTGAGAGAGGCAGCAGGAGTGGGGGAGGGGTGAGGCAGTGATTGCTTCCCGGCCTGGGGGTATAGACTGGGATCTGTGCGGGGCTGAAGGACCATGACATGGTCTCTATTGCATGGCCTGGCTCTCAGCTCTGCAGACAAGTCATGGATGATAAATGCAAAAGCGCCATCTTATCACACACCATATGGCCAGCAGACAGGCCGGCACTGGGGCCACACGTGTTTGGTTTAGGCTATCTTTAGGCATTTTTTCATTCTGTCCTGAAGCCTGTTCAGTACTCTCTTGTTTTCTTTTCCTCTTTCTCCCCCTAACTTTTCACTCCATATATGGTGATGTTCTCCGCTGTGGAGACCAGCTTGGACCAATACCTGCCCCCTGAGCTAGCTGTGTGGTACCCTGATGTGTTCCTGAAGGGACCCCACGGAGGTTCCAGTTTTGTGGTAAGCCACTTCTTCCTCTTGGGGCAGTGCTGAAGCTGTTCCAGGTGCTTCTGTGACTGCTCTCCAGATGCCATGTACCCCACTTACCTTTCCAGTCCAGCTTTGGAGGTAGGACCCCTCTATTGTCTAACTACAGGTCTGGAGATCTCTAGTTAGACCCCACGGTCACAGGTAAAATCCAGAGCACTTCCTCTTGGCTTCAGGGCTCTCAACTGCTCAGCCTCAGTTTACCTTCTCCGTTTCATCTCCTTGCACACTGCAAATGGTCTGACTCTTTGAGCTGTCCTGTCCCTGTTTCCTGTAGAACCTGCCTCCCATGCTCTTCTACCTTGTCCTTGGGCTCATGTCTCTAGCTCTTCGATTATCTTAGGTCCAGTCCTTGTGTCTACACAGAGCCATGCACCCCCTTGCTTTTTGCATTCTTTGTCTTAAGGTTGCACCCCCTAACTCTTTGGTTTCATAATTTCTCCTTAAACCAGATGATTTTCAGCTCTTTTGTAAATGAAGAGGGTTGTGCCCTTCTGTGAACAGAAAACCAATGATTACATGCCTAACACACAAAGCAACTGTGAAAACAAAACCCACTGAAGTCAAAACAGTGTTGTTGAATTCTGGCCATTTTCATTGTTTCCCAGTCTCTGTGGAGGCGCCTGTCTACCCTGTGTGTTAAAAAGGGAAATTACTAGACCCTGAGAGAATTGAAAACATTAGGATGCCATAATGCTGTTTTCACCCTAATACCACCAGAAAGACGAATAGAGTTGACCGGCAGATAATTTTTTAAATACGACAGTCCTATTATAGAGCCGTACCCGAGTGTCATTGACAGGGCCCACATTAGCCCACTTGGAAGCCTTGGTCATACTCTGATTGACATGCCTCTACCTACCTCATCTGCTGAAGATGTGACTGTTCCTGAGGAGGCTGTCTGTCCACAGGCCAGCCCCAGTCATGGTCCTAAGAAGCCTCCCTTGGGTTCCTGCCTTCTTCTGTAGATGGTTCTAAGCTACCCAACTCCTGCTTTGGGATGGTAGGCTCAGGATAAGCACCTAGCACATGGAACTGTGTTGGAATGAGTAGTCGGGCTAGCTGGAACTTGGGTCACAGTGAGCTGATGCAGAATGGAGCTCACATCTCTGAGGAATCAGCAAATGGTGTTAGGAGGAGATGGGCAGAAGAGAACACATGACACTTGTCTTTGTGACGTTGGCTCATTTTACTTAATGCAATGATTGGCCTCCAGTTCTGTCC